ATTAAGATTGTATGGGCATTGGAACAGGCTACTCAGGAGAACACAGAGTTTCCATCCCAAGAGATACTTCAGAGACAAGTGGATGAAGTGCATAGAGGCCATGATTTAGCAGTGGACATGTAGTATTAGGTGGATGGTTTGAGTTAATGACATTAAAGTTTTTTTTTTTTTCCAACCTAAATAATTGTACAATTCTGTGATCTTTTTTCCTTGGCAGGACTTGGCACAGATGCAAAGTTTTCTACGTACTTATTCATGTGTGTTCCTTATAGAATGTAGCTGCACACAGTGCCCCTTATTTTGTCAGCTGCTCATAATCAGCAGGAATGTGAAATATCCTGGGATACCTAGGAATATTCTTTATTATTTGTATTTTCCTGCAGTTAACCACATAGCCGTTGGCTTCAGATACCATTCAACCACTGTGACTTAAAAAGTTGTCCAGGGTTGACTAAGCTTCATAACTATCCACATGTGTGTTCCCAGACCATTGCAAAAGATATTACACTGAGGGGTAAATAAAATATTGTTGGTTTTTTTTTCTGAGAACAAAGTGTGTACACAGAGTCAGTTTACACCATGTTCTCTGGGAGCTGGATTTGAATCCTTCATTTCACATCACTGTTTTTTCACGTTTCACTGCACATACACATCTCTGGATAGGTATTTGGGTACATATAGATTTGCTGTGTATACATGTATAACAGGAATACAGAACTGCTATTTAGGTTTAGGCTATTTAGTTGTGTACATTTAAGTGTATCCAAAGAGGCAAGACTCTTAAAAGGATGAGCTACATTCTTGCAACAGAATGTGAAGGGCAAGGTACATTCCTGACATACCAACATTCAATACACTAAAATAGTGATGTGCGACCTTGAGGCTTTTTTTCTTATCATTCATCTGCGATTGGTCTTGACTGCTTTGTAAATCTGATGGCCATTGTAATGGTAAGTGATACTTCCTGAATGACCATTCTTGTTTCAGAAGTGGTAAATCTCTTGACAGTGTGCATTCACTCTCTCTCAGTCATTGAATCCATGTGCTATACGGTGCAATAACATCTGCAGATATTGCTTTCCATCTTCTGTGTTAATTCTCTGTGTATAGTAAGAAGAGAAGGCTGCTCCAAAATGAGGTCTTTATTGCTAATTTAAAAAGCTTTGTATTGTGCATGTAAAACACTTCACTCTGTCCTGTTGAGCATGCTTTTATGGCTTAACCAATTGGAGGTAGCTACCTGTGCTGGAAGCATCTGAATGGCAAAATTCTTTGATGCTAATTTGAATTAACATGAACTAGATACTTAGTAAGAATTTTTCCATCCTCCTTAGACTGGCATTATTTTAAAGATCTTTATGAGATGAGAAGATGCTGAGGATACACTTCTGTTAATATAAATTATTTCTGGAGCAAAGAAGAAATGAACAAAAGTGAATGTAATGCTAGGACTTAACAGAAAAGAAGCACTGTTCCATTTGCAAATGGCTTAGTTACTTTGTTAATATGGTGTTGAGGTTCTTCCCTCTTTTCCTCAAATGTTGTGGTGTAGCTGGAAAAAAAAGAAAAGTGTAAGAAGAGTGATGAAAATACTGGAAAAGTCATTGTGATCTGCCATATAGATTTATGAAACTACAGTCTCTACTCAGATAGCCTTGGACAGATCAACCACACTGTGTTAGAGATGGAATAAGACTGGGAAGAATGGGACTCGTCTTTAACTAGTGTAGGGTAGTAGCTGGAATTTTAAATTAGTCCTCTGTAGGATTGAAAGTAAGGTGTTTCATTAACAATAAGACTTCTTCCTAACTGTTGGAGCTTGCATGGGGGAAATGAAAGTAAGGATTCAAAATATTGAAAGACAAGATCTTTTAGACAAAGCAACTTCTTTTAAAAGTCATCAATTTAAAACTTTAGGTTCATTACTGTACAAAGTATAAAAATCATAAATCTTACCAAGAAAAGAGTAATATTTTTTTCTTTTGTTTCTGAATTTAAACATTTAGATTTTTTTTTCTTTTAAAAAAGCAAACAACAGTAAAAACATGTTTTAAAAAAGAATGGAAACATACATGGTTTATTAGGAAACCAAACTAGCTCTACTTAGCATATCACCATTTGTTTTTCCTAATGCTAGCTTAGAAACTTAGGCTTAATTTAGCAGTTGGAATGCATGTTTTATGTGTGGTATAATTTGTGCTTTCCATTTTTTTGTTAATGTTTTGATAAATTCCTGTAGATTTTCAGTGGCCTCTGAAATAGCCATTTCACACACTGCCAAGCTTACAGAGGCATTTTTCTGGGTTGTGTTTTGATTTTATATTTTTCCTAAAGAGATTCATGAGTGAAGGAACACAGATGCATCAAGATCATTTTTCACATTAGGTGGCAACACATCAAAAAATGTTGGCATGGCCCAAGGGAGGTACCTAACATACTGGCAAATCTGACAGTATTCCTTTCTCTTATTAGAGACAGTTAAAAGGGTCATGATTACTGAGATGATCACAGAGTGCCTTCAGAATGGATGTTACAGTTGTCCCAACTGTGCATAGTGGCAACAGTTTAGACATCCATTACAGAGAAGTAGGGATTCATTCTCTAAATGCAGATCGTCTCATAATTTTGAAACAGCTATTATATGCTGAAGCATCTCCTACTGTATGACAGTGTTTTGGCTACAGGAGAGCAGAGGAATACTGGAAAATGGTATTCTTTGTTCTTAGCAGAGAAGGGACAAAGGAAACTGGATGGCTGGAGGACACAGACATCATAATGACTGTAATATGAGGAGATAAAAACTGGTTCAAGGATTAAGGAAATAAGCAGTCTTTTTATTTGCTAAAATTTTCTGTGAGGTCCCTTACCTAAGAGGGGCTACGCATGAAGTCATATGCAAGAGAAGCAGGGAATCTCCATTGATGAGGCTCTATAAGATCAGGTCAAGCAAACATCTTCTGGAAGTGCGTAGGTATTGCTGATCTTTCCTTTGGATGCAGTGATAGCCTAGCTGACTTCTTGGTATCTCTTCCAACTGTACGGCTAATAGTTGGGTGAAGACTGATGAGTCACGCGGATGCACGCATGTCAAAACTGTTTTGTGCATCTTTGAAAAGTTAACCCAGTTTTTCACATAATTCATGGAGACTGAGGGGTGTGGAAACTTGGGTTTTTGCATCGTGTGCCGAATTCCTTTTGTATAGGTAGTGTGCTTCGTGCTTTTAGAAGTGTGGAAAGGGATTTGTATTAGTTCTTATTTGAGGAGCAAACCTCAGGATTACACATTCACTCCAGGTTGTGCTTTTTCAAAAATTTTATTTATTTATTTATTTTTAAGAAATACCCTTTTCTGAGCTTGTACTTAAGGCTATGAGGCTTAGTTGTGCCTCATCTTTGAAAGGTCTTGGTGATCATGAGAGGTGTCTAAAGACTGGAGCATAGCCATTGCCACTCCAGTCTTCAAAATGGCAACAAGGTGAATCTAGAAAGCTTACAGACCAGTCAGCCTCACCTCTATCCCTGGAAAAGTGATGGAACAATTTGTCCTGGATGCCATCTCCAAGTAATTGGAAAGAGAATAAGGTTATCAGGAGTAGTTAACATGGATTTACCAGGGGAAATCATGCTTGACCAACCTGGTAGCTTTTCAATATATCATCAGTGGTTGGGTAGATAGGAGGAGAGCAGTGGATGCTGTATATCTTGACTTCAGTGAAGCATTTGACATCGTCTCCCACAACATCCTTGTTACAAAACTTAGAAAGTGTGGGATAGATGAGTGGACAGTGAGGTAGATTGAGAACTGGCTGATTGGCAGAGCTCAGAAAGTTGTCTTCAGTGGCACAGAGTCTAGTTGGAGGCCTGTAACTAGCAGTATTCCCTGGAGATTGGTGCTGGATCTGGTCATCAGTGATCTGAATGAAAGGAATAGTGTCCACCCTGAACAAGCTTGCTGGTGATACTACGCTGGAAGGAGTGACTGACACACTGGAAGGCTGTGTTGCCATTCAGCAAGACCTGGACAGACTAAGAATTGAACAGAGAGAGAAACCTGATGAGCTTTAACAAGGGCATGTACTGCACCTGGGGAGAAATAAAGACATGTGTCAGGCTAGGGCATGACCTGCTGGAGATGAGCTCTGCAGTGAATGACCTGCATGTTCTGGTGGACAACAGATAAGTCATGAGCCAGCAGCTCATGACTTGTGGCCAAGAAGGGCAGTGGTACCCTGGAGCGTATTAAAAAGAGAGGTCAGCAGGTGGAAGGAGGTGATCCTCCCCCTCTTCTCTGTCCTGATGAGTCCACATTTAGAATACTATGTCCAGTTCTGGGCTCCCTTGCTCATAAGAGACAGAGATCTTCTAGAAGGAGTCCTGTGGAGGGCTAAGGAGATGATAAAGGGCCTGGAGCATCTCCCAGGATGTGTAACATGGGTCTGTTCAAGCCTGGGGAAAAGAATACTGAGGGGGGATCTGATAAATGTTTAGAAATATCTAGAGGGAGTGGGAGATAAACGGATGAGGCCAGGCTCTTCTCAATGGTACGTAGTGATAGGACAATGAGCAATTGCCTAAAACTTGAATGTATGAAGTTCCATGGAAACATGTGGAAGAACTTCTTTACTGTAATGGTGACGGATCACAGGAACAGATTACCCTGAGAGACTGTGGAATCTCCTTCTGAGAAGATATTCAAGACTCATCTGGATGCCTACCTGTGCAATCTATTGTAGTGAACATGTATTAGCAGGGGTGTTGGACTCGATGGTGTCTTGAGGTCCTTTCCAATGCTTGTAATTCTGATGTCTTCCCATGTCCGCTTAACTATAAGTTCTCAGATATGTTACTCATGCTGTGCCTTCTGTAACACTGGAATTACAGTAGAAACAGAAGTAAGGTTGAGGCTAAAAGAAGTTTTCTACTTTTGAACAACAGAGTGAGGTCTGTGGTAATCTATGTTTATTTAATTACTTTTTTTTTTTTTTTTTTTTTCCCTACAGGTCTGCAGGAAGTCTATAACAAAGATTTTTATGGAATGTGGATGTGAAAGATACCATGATAGTGGCAAGATTCCATAAGTCTCTGAAAGGTAACAGATAACATAGTTTATATCTCAGTCTTTGTTAAAGAATTTATGATCTGTGAATTGTTCATTGATTAAGTGATGGGGTTGTCTTGATTAAAAGAAACAGCTTGTTGGAGAAAGCAAAAAGATGATACTGTTAAGGTCTATTTCTTTGCCAAGTCCTTGAGATCTACTGGTCCTAGAAATGAATAGATGCAATACCCGTGAGTTTAATAAGCTAACAGCTGTTAGTCTTGCAAGGCCTGAAGGCAGCAAGAGATAGGAGAGAATGAGCAGATGGCTTGAAGGAAACAATTTGAAGGAGCTAATTATTGTCTGAGCATGCCCTGTAAGGAAGTTGCAGAGGCTAGAAGTAACATATTGGAAAGACATCAGAACAAAATACTAAAAAAATAAAAAATAGCAAAACCAGAAGTACAGAATAAAAACAAAAGAGGATAAAAACGTTAGCAAATAACCTGAAAAGCCTCCCACATTACTACCTGGGTTGCATTTGGCTCTGGTGCATTCTAGTGCTAGAAGCAATCTTATATAGCATAAACATATGAGGAGGAGGTGAAAGTGAGCATGTAAGTTGTCTTGGGTATATTGAAAAAACTGTTCTAACAAATCAAGTGAGTCTGTCATGTTTGTGTTCTATGCTGTTTGAGATTCAAGTACAAATATGTTCTTCAGAACTTTGTGGGTAGATGGAGTCCCACAGAGTAAGATATTACTAAATGGCCCTCATACCCCAGTGAGAAATTCCTTGTTCATTCTTACTATTCTTGCTCGCAGTATCCAAAATGAATGAATGAATTTTATCTTTTGTTTCCCATCCTGTTTCATTCTGCGGTTGTGTTGTTTCTTAGTTGTTTGGTGGGCAAATGGTCATGCAAAAAACTTAGTCTTCAATAGAGTGTGAAATCATGGCTGTCCTGTTATACTAATTGACATAAAGGATCACTGTATTTTTTAACCTGTGTTCCTTGTGCTGTTTTGTGAAGATATAACTTGGCTGTCCTGATAAGACGGAGTAGGCATAAGAATGACTGTATTTAGAAGCATTTTTTACTCCAGAAGTCCTCATTTCTTGTCAGATTTATTCTTCTATTGCTATTTTGTTGTCTTTCTTATGAATGCAAGTGTAATACAGGTAGCAAGAGACTGATATTTACAGAAATCTCTTTATTTTGTATCTTTATAATGGTACACAAGCACTCATGCTCTAATGAATGCGCATTTAAGGAGTTCACAGTTTATTTCACCTGAAATAAACACTGGGAGGAAACTTTAAACTTTCTGATTACAAAAAAAAAGTTAAGCTCTTTCAAATGAAATGCCAAAAATAAGATACGTGATCTGGATGAAGCTCATACCTGCTGAGGAAGCCCTTAGCAAGCATAACTGTCCCACAGGTCATGAGTAAGTGCTTCTTTGGCTGTAAAAGTTCAGCACATGAGGATGATATCATATGTTGTCCTTGGATCCACTTGCCTTGAATGTCTTTCCGTCTTTGAAAACTTAGCTTAATAGAGTGACTGGACCACATACTGGTTAACTTAGATGCTGACAGCTTTCAATGCCTCAGGAAATCTCTTAGGTCTACCACGAGGGACATCATGGGTTTAGATACAGAGGTCTGAAGGACTCTGCAATAGCAAAGGGCTGGTGTCACAGATCAACTGGCAGTGTATTACCTATATAAACCCCAGGCTGGGTTTGTGTTGTGTTTTTGTGGGTTTGAGGTTTTTTTGTTGGTTTTTTTTTTTTTTTTTGGTTGGTTGGTTGGTTGGCTCTTTTTTGGAAAGGTTCCTGCTTGGGGGAAGAAAGAAAAAAGGCATCTTGTGAAAAGAGCTACTGTTCTGTAGTGCTGTAGTGTTTGTGCTGTTAGGGGTTAGAGAAGAAAGGTGTTCTATTCTAAGAATAATAAAGCCAAATTGTTTTCTTCTCTATAATTTCTCTAAAGCAATTTTTTTTTTTAAGTACATCCTGTAGAATGAATTGAGAGAACATTAAATGAAACTGCAGCACTCTGCCTTTTAGTTACATATAAAAATAAAGCAGTATTCAAATTTGCATTTTATTTCATTTCCTTGGTCCATGTTTTATTTTTTTGAAAGAAATGCTGAGCTTGAAAAGAACACTATTCCCTACCCAGTGTCTCTAACTTGCACTCTTATAATTTTTCCACTCCTAGCATCCCATCTGATGATATAGGAAGGGCCTATGAGGCTCAGTACAGATTGATTCTGTCAAATACTACAATGTTTTTAAAACAAACAAACAAAAATTGTTTTTTTATTTTTTTTTGAATATGTGTATATATATATATTTTCTTATTCATGTATCTATTCAGAATCTAAAAATATTACAGGAGAAGCCTTAGCAATGGTGCTGCCAGAAATAGCTAGTAGTGTTTGTTGTACATCTTTTAGTCTCCTATTCCAAATGTTGAAGATTCTGCAGCAAAAGTACTTTTATTTCACTCTGACACTTTAGCAGTCAAATCTTCACTTCTCCTAAACATTTTAAGTGTTAAAGCCCCAGCTGCAGATATTTTGGGTACATCTAACAGGTAGACTGTCGTGAATATGTGCTAAGGATTTTGAAAGACAGAAGATGCTATGGCCTTTTCAATGTTTTGGCAGCACTGATCAGGTGAAAGGATATCCTGAATGGGTAACCACTGTAAATAGCCTGTTTAACTAAATTGCAGGGTAGCTTAGTACTTATATTCTGCAGAAAATGTAGCAGTAAAGTTGTGCTAGTTTTACTGGCTTTAAGGTGACTTATTTAAATATTTTTTAAGTAAACAAGTAGCCATGCAAAATTAAGAGATGTTAACTTAGTGGGGGGAGAGGGAAACACAAGTTATGAAGGGTCATAAACATAGATCTTAAGTCAAGCAATGGTTCCTCACTGCACAGCATGCAGCAAAGTTTACTAGACTTCCTTCTGGAGAAATTAATTAGGTAATGTACTTAATGTGTTTAGAGTGCTTTGAAAAATATGAAGTGCTTTATAACTGCTAGGAATTTTATTTCTTAATTTGTTAATTGCATATTTATTTATTTCGAAAGCAGTCTTTTTTTTTTTTTTTAATGTGGAAATTCTTGGCAGTGACTCGAGCTTTTTTAGTACCTGGGAGACATCAAAGATGTTACACTGTCAGTTGATTTCCCAGTTAACAAAATCTTGGAGCATTTCATGCCTCATAGGAATGTGGGTAATATCAGGAAGGAAAGAACAAATCATGATTTAATCTACTTCATTATAAATTTACTTGGAGCACTTATTCTAGGATTGCACTGAGACAAGACTGAAATGCATGTAGTACAGAGAATTTTGTGGATCACAGTTTGGAATGGCTGGAATTCCCAATGAGAGGTCATAACCTTGCTTTAATTTGAGAAATAACATCTTTGGTTTATATAGATGTGGAGAAATAGAGTTGCCATCAGTATTAGGAATTCCTAAACATCTCCATAAATGGAAATAAAGATAGTCCAGCAATAAGCGCCTTAGCAAAGTTCGTGTGTAGAAAGAGGCTTGCACAGTAGACTACAAATTACAAGAGGGTTGTTGTCTGTCCTAGTTAAAGTTCTAGAAACCTGACAAATCCATCAATCCCTGTAAGGCCATACATAATGCTGCAAAAAATTCACTACCTGCTGTAGAGTCTGCCGTTACCCCTGTTACTATGTGCTTCTCTCTCTCAGAATTTTTTTAACTTTTCAGCCAGTTTGAAAACAAATCTGAATTGATCACTGCTTAATAAAAAAGTGGAAAACAAACTTAATTGAACAGGAGTAAGAATGCATAAAATCAGAGGCCTGAGTAGGATTCTTAAGTTCATATCTCAAGATTTTAATTGTCTAACTCATGCTGACTTCATGAGAAATTAGGTTTGTAAATAGGATAGCTGGTAGATTTGGGATAAGTTAAGGAGCAAGCCTTGTAAGACATTACACGGTGTGTTATAGTGAAAAGAGATAGTAACTGTCTAACTGAGTTTCTCTGCATGAACAAGCAAGCTATCCATTAGAGGAATGTTATTTCTGCTGTTAAGGTATTGTTGGAGCTTAGGAGAAAAGTGTTATTTCATAGTATGTATTTAGGAATATGTGTGTGGGTAAGAACATGACACCATCCACCATTCTGAGGATGGTGCCAGTCTGCTGTCGGCCTTCTGGCCTCACCAAATATGAATAAGATATAGACACACATTCAGTTTGAAGCGTTCCACAGTACTCGTAACGTTTTTGCCTCTATTTTTTTAGAGGTTCTGTTTACAGCACTCTGATTTCCTTTCTTCACTTCTTACATTTGTTCTACTCTTGAAATCTGACACTATGTTAGAGTGAAGCTGCTAGTATGTGGGAAACTATTTTACTCTGCTTCCTAGTCTTGCCCTAATACTGATATGAGCCCTGGAACCTTATTTTCCAGCTTTTCTTGTAAAGTTGCTACATTCTTTGTGAGAAAAAGACAAAGACAAAATTCTGTGGGGAAAGGATATTTTCTTAAATTCAATTTGTGAGACAAATGAGAAAGAAACAAAAATGTCAGTGCTTCATTATTAGCCTTAAAATGGAATTGGGAAACATGGATGAACTCCCTCTTCTATATATATTAAAGGAAGTAGCAAATTTATATACATATAAATGTTCATTGCTCCCGGAAATCTGTAGCAAAATATTCATCTTTTCTGTCCAGTTTGCTTTCCTTGATTTCTCTTGAGTAAGAGTCATAGTGCTAGGGAGGCCATATGCTGCTTGTACACTTACCAAATCACGTGCGCATGGAGATGGAGAGAACAGAAATATAAAGAACCTCAGTGACTTTTTCAAAGATTTCAGATTATTTCAGGATGTTAAAAAAGTATTTGGCCTTTTTATTTGCAGTGCTTTTCATCTCTGTAGCTTTACGCAAATTAAAATATTTCTATTCTTAAAGAGTTTCTGCTTCTGTTATAATGAATTCATTAAGGACTGATCCAGAAAATACGAAACAGTTTTAGG